AATGTTTAAGGAGAAGGAATTGCTAAATACCCTTATTTGATCATTACACATTGTATACACATATCTAAATTACCACACTGTACCTTAAATTGTACAATTATGCCAATTTTAAAATGCCAAACCACAAAATTGTTTTGCATTTCTCTGAGACCTTAGTTTAGTGTTTATGTATACTAGTTTAATTATGTATGAAGTCTGCCTCCCACACAACACTTGGTCATGCCACTATGCCCAACACTGAAGAGATGCCCTGTAACTTCAGAATGACAATTTCTCTCAAGAGCTTCACCAGTCCCAGAGCTTCTGATTGCAGCTATCTTGGTGTTAACTAGCATTATTGGAGAACTATTCTTAGGATTTACCTTTGTTAATCATTTCTTTTTCTTGTAATTGCTGCATCATTACCACTTTAATATTTATATTGTTCCTTTCCAATTCTTTGTTATCACTGAGAGCTTTTACCACTGGAAAAAGAGGAGAGACAGTATAGGCAAATTGTAGGGTCTTGGCCAGGTGCAGTGGCATACTCCTGTAATCCCAGTAGCTCAGGATGCTCTGAGACAAGAGGATCATGAGTTCAAAGCTAGTCTCAGCAAAAATGAGGCACTAAGCAACTCAGTGAGACCCTGCCTCTAAATAAAAATACAAAATAGGGCTGGAGATATGGCTTAATGGTTGAGTGCCCATGAGTTCGTTCTGTGGTATCACCTCCCCCACAAAAAATTATAAAGTCTTATTTTTGTCTGCCCCAAAATTTTAACAAGTATTGCCCCAGATAAACTGTTGAGTCTCACCAAGCTACCTTATTAATGATGGCCTGAAATTTCCATATGTCCAGAGGCTATCTCTGAGCCTGTTTTAAACCATTCTCTTCCTTTTGCCTTGAAATTGTCCCTGACTCCAAATCATCACAAATTCCTCCTCTCATAAATCTTTACTGCGTAACTTGTTAGTGGATCAGAAACAGCTGTGAGATATCTTCAAACATATAACTGCTGTCTAATTCTTGAATTCTCTCTCTTGGGAATTAGTTTGACTTTCCATCAAGACTTAGGTATCCTGAGGTCAGGGACCAAGTTTTGTATCTATACATCTTAGTATGAAATGAAGAAAGTACCCAAGGTATAGAAGCATTACAAGGGTTATTTCCAAAGCACCTGTGGTCTAATCTCAGGGTTGTGAGGCAGCAGAAATGGACAGAGTCTGTTTGGACACCAGCCCTGAGATGGTTCCCCAGAACTGTGTCGATGAAGTCTGTTGTGGCATCTGCTGTAGCTATGAGCAAATGAGCTAACAGGACTTATGGGATTTTTGCTAATGCAGCAAATAAGCAGGAGTGTACTTGTTTTTCAGACTTTGCTGCTGGTCCTGCCTCTGCATCTGGCTCTTGAACTTACTTTCGTTTGCTTGCTTGCTTGCTTGCTTTCAGTACCAGGAAATGAACCTAGGGTACTCTATCATTGAGCTATATCCTCGGCCCTTTTAAAATAATTTTTTTGAGACAGGGTCTCACTGAGTTGCTGAGGCTGGCCTCAAAATTGTGATCCTACTTCCTCTGCCTCCCGTGTAACTGGGATGCCAGGTGTGTGCCAGCCACCACACCCAGCTCTTGGACTTTTATGAATCACCATCTGACCACCACAATTTTGTGAAATCACAGCCAGTAGAATTGCAAGAACCTATGGTTAAACACCCTGCCTTCCCTGCCCTATGCCACTTCCAGCCTGGTTTGGGGTCCCATTTGGGACACTCATATGTCCCTTGGTATATGCTGTCTCATTCTTACCTGGTCTGATTCCTGACTGGGTCCAGGTCCTAAGTCCTTTTTTTACAAGCTATGATTCCCCATCCCTAATGGGCCTTTATTGGCCTTTCTGGTTCTTGTACTGTAATGTTTTTAGTCAATTTCCATGAACAATCTGGCCATGAAATAAAGCAGGGAACACATCTAAAAATCCTGCTTAAAAGGATACACTGATCTTGACTAGAAGGATATGCTGCTCTGTCTTATATATCTAAAGATTGTATTAATTATAATGTGGACTTTGATTCTTGAGTCTCATGGTTTTTGGTGTTTGTCAGTATGAACACATTAGACTTACTCTGTCTTCAAACCAATGATCTATTTGATCAAATAATTGGACAATACAGAGTGAGGGTGAGTGACAACAAAATGGTGGCCCAAGAAGGAGGAAATCAATCTAACCAGTGAGGGGTTAAGTAATGTCTGTTCCAGCATAGCTATTGCTTATGAATTCATTAAATCAATGAATGTTAGGAACTGCTCTCCCTCTGTGACCATAGACCTATAACCACTGAAATCACAGGTTTGCAGAACAGATGAGTTAAAAGCAAACCAGAGCACTACTGCTTCTACAAGAAATAAAGATCCTTTCTTAGCTTAAAACAACGTCTGTACTCATTTGGAATTCAGATCAATTAATCTGACAACTTAGATGTTCACATTCCTGTGAGATTAAGTATAAATAGGTTTCTCAGAGAGGTTTCACATTAGAATTGTTCATGGGGATGTTACAGTTTGGATCTGGAATGTCCCTCAATGGCTCATGTGTTGAAGACTTGCTTCCCAGTTAGTGGCACTACTGAGAGGTGGTGGAAATTTTAGAAGATGGGGACTAGTTGGAGGAAGTAGGTTATGGGAGTAGGAGGTGCCTTTGGAAGGGCACCCTTTCTCAGCCTCTTTGTCTTGCTCTCTTTTTGCTTTCTGGCTGCCAGAGATAGCAGTTTTGTTCCACCACGCCCTTCCATCATGAATATTTGCCTCACCACACACCCAAAGCAGTGGGGCCAAACAACCATAGACTAAACCTGTAAAACCAGGAATTTTAATAAATAAATCTTTCCTCCCTTTAAGTTCATTTTCCAAGGTAATTTTTCACAGTGACAAAAAGCTAACACAAGGGAGAAGAAACATTAAAATCTTCTCTGAGAAAATGAAGTGACAAAAATGTGTACTGGGTACTCTGCTACCTTTTCAATATTTTATTGAGTTGATTTTGTTCTCTGTTTACTGTAACCAAACATCCAAGGCTACTGAATCAACTGCTGCTGTGTACCAATGCAAGGTCCTCTCTGAGCTCATTTTTAACAGCCCTTCCTTGAATCTTCAAAGCCAAATTCTTTTGAAACCGGAACTAGGGTTAAATTTAGGTCAACATGGATTTCACAAAAGCAAATCCTTTAAAGTTTGCATTAAAAATTCATATGTCTAACTAGACGGCCTTGTTCGGCTGATGATAATATTACAAAAAGTTAATTTCCCGTCTCTAGGCTTTCTCACAAGGAAGTTCTGTAGCTTCATTCCAAATGGATTGGAAGATTTCATCTCAGTTTCACAACACAAGCAGGACTGAGTATGCTTATCATCAGTTTGCTCCATTCTGTCATAAATAATATCAAATGCATGTAGCCACATGTCAGGTCAGTTCCCGTTCATGTCATTTTGTCCCCATCCAGGTTCCTGGGATTCATTTCTATGGGCATGGGTTCCCTCTGTATTTTATTCTTACTCTTTTTTTTTACATAACTGAACTACAAACCTTAAATACTGTTTTTTTTTTTTAGTTTGACTCAAAATGGCTATTCTTTTTCTCTAGACTACAAAGATATCTTTTTTGCAGAAGTAAATCCATACACGTATGACACAAATAACATGGCCACAACATATTGGATTGTCTCACAGAACATTCAGTTCTTCATTCTGTCTTAGAGGAAAAGATATATCAGGGCCTCATCTGCCCCCACTGCTTTCCTCTGCCTTCTAGAAGGTCAGAAAATTTTACCCCAACAACAACAGGGAGTATGTAATCCATCTGAAAGTTGTGATGGGAAGAAGGGGTTGAAGCAGTATAACAAGTAGGTGACAGCATGAACTTTGAGGTCAGAAACCCTTTTTAGGATGTATGATAGATGGAGAACGTCAGCTTCTCTAAGACTCATCTCAAGAATTAGGGCAATAGTTGGGTATCAAGAGGCTTATCAGAAACAATAGATATAGTGCTTTTCACAAAGTATCTGACACATGGTAAGTGATTAATAAGTGCTTCTAGAGTTCAGCACATTGTTGATAATAAATATTGATTGAATAATTGGGCAAGTGGACAAATGAATGAATGACCATTCAGTGAGATCAAAGCCTGTTTTAAGTTCTCAGTATAGATTCCTCTCCTGTAGACGTCTGCTTAAGAAATGGAATAGATTGTGCATGGTTGGGTTTAGTAATGTTAGATAAAGGTACACTTGCTCTCCTCAAGTCTTTTGGAGAAAGAGCAATGATTTGGGTCAATTCTACAATCCTCCTGGTGGCAGAATTTCTATACCAATTGACAGGAGCCTGCTTTACAGATAGAGGGTGGGCTGAGCCCCCAGCAGGGGGTCATTGTTGAACAGATAAATTAAAATGAAACTAAAGACACAAGGCCTGCTTGAATTGCCTTATTGGGGGTAGCATGTATAGTTTTAAACCTACACTGCTCCATCCACAGGAGTTACTACAAGGTACTATCTGCCTTACACATTCCTGGGTTAATTCTCGTCAAGCCCTGAACTCCTATTCTGTGCCCCTTTACACTTCCAGACCTGTTCATCTCCTTGCTCCTTGGATCTTCTAGCTAAAGGAATAGTCCACTGCTCTTTGTGGTATGTGAGTGGGGAAGAAGCATGTGGATGAAAGAGGGATCCCTGGATCCCAAGACCAAAAGCTCCTTAAATCCATTCCCCAAGCATTTTTCCTCTCCTCACCCTTCCCCAACCCAGAAGGGTGACCAGAAAGGAGCTGGCAGGCAAACATCCTCAATTTCTGACTAATTGTAGAATAAGATGAGGCCCAAGGCTTGGCTTTACCAGAAAAATGCACCATAGACATACAAGTCTAAATTGAAGGCTCCTGGTACTTAATAAAATTCCAGACTTCTTCTGTGAAAGGTTTCCTCAAACCATTTTATAGTGGTGTTTTTGAGTCAAACTAGTTTTTAACTCACCTTTTTTCTGCCAACTACTGTTCAGCTTTGGGGACATATTTCAGTTCACTTTTAATATTCTGGATCTCCGATAGGTTGACCGCAGGTCCTGGAAGTTTCTTTGCTCCCGGAATTGGCTTCTTCTCCTCATCCGAGGTGGGAGGAGCTCCCTGAAGGGAAATGAGAAGATATTCAACTCCCTAGAAAAGATATTTGATCCTTCTCTGGTTCATAGACATAAACCAGAAAAAAAATTAAAGCAAGAACGTCAGATTGTGATTCTAGCAGAGTTACTTTCTCTTGCATTGTTGACACAGCCTCAGTTCCAATAAGATCTAGAGTTTAGTAAAATAAATCTGGAAGAACAAAATAAGTAACTTTAGTGTATGGCTGGCTCTAATGATGACGTAGTTCAGGAATTTTCAAGGTTGTATTTGAGGTGCTGTGGCTGCCAGTCTTTGGTCCCAGACATCTTTGAAAAGTATAAACAAAAGGACATAAGGGAAACCACTTTGAATAAGGACAGGGTGTGAGGGGACAATAGAGGAGGCCCAGCCTTCTCCTCCTGCTTTGAAAATATTTTAAATTTCTTATCATGACGTGTTGTTATGTTTTTGTCACAGCTTTAGGGCAATATCTACATCCTGTCCTTTTTATGGCTCTTCCAATGCCCAGTTACAGATACGCACAAGCATACTTGATGATTGCTGATTAATTTATTAATCTTGAGAATGTACCATAGTGACAAATCCACACCTCTATGTACATATACCCAACACACATACAACAGTGACTATAAGACAATAAGATCAGTTGCTGTGTATGGCTCCAACTCATTACTACAGAAGAAAGTTGCTTCTTAGTACATTCTTTCTATTTGCTAGAGGTGGGGGAACACAGTCTCCAAGGGCCTGGGAAGAAGCTATTTAAGAGAACATTTGATCACTTGGCAGCCTTGAGAACATGCCTCCTATCAGTTTACTGCAGGGAGGGTACTCGAATGACAGTCCCAGCTGCTTCGCCCTAAAATCCATCCATCACCAGCTGAGGTCACGCTTCCCACGGCTGCTTGTAACCAATGACTGAGTGTGACAGGAATCCTAAGGCAGGTCTATTCCTGGGAGACACATGACACTTCAACAGAGCAGCTCTGGCTGGAAAATTGACCTTAGAGCAGCCCGGAAGTCTGAACTGCTTCCACAGATCCACCCCCCTCCATCCTTCTCACCTTCCCCTGCAGTGTGGTCTGACTGGTGCTCTGACAGCCTCCCGCCACTCCCTCCCACTTTTCCTTACAAGCAGTTTCCTCAATAAATATTTTGCACATCTAATCCCATCCTTGAGCCTGCTTCTTGGAGGACACAAACTAACATGGGCTCAAATGTGAGACTGACAGAGTTCCACGTTGGGGGCCAATACCTGGGTGAATTAATACAATTCCAAGGGGAAAAGAATAAGAAACTGAATGCCTGCCTTCTGTGAAGCCCTAGGCCCTCCAGTTGGCAGCCCTGTCATTGGGATGATGCTGATGCCATGTGTTAGTCCCTGCCAGCTCCTATGCCTAGTTCTCAGATTGGTTAGAACTTGAAGAACATTTTCAAGCTTCTCCAAACCCTGACAAATTACTTGGAAGACATTTCTTTTATAGACACATTTTTAAATTGCTTATTAGAGGGAATGAGTAGACACATAAAATATTGAGGTGATGTTCTTGTACTAAGGGCTAATGGCTTTTCCTATAGTCATTTTCTCTGAATCTGGTATAGTACTGATGAAATGGCTAACATGTCACCCACATGAAATGATAAAGTAAGTCAATGTAGACTATACCTGCTGTAAATATCTGGAAGATACCATTTCTGCAGGTCAATGTACAGAGCCATAGGATTGGCTGCTTTTCCTCACACACACACACATTCGTCATTTATAAATGTAGATATAGAAGCAGTAATTAAAGCTGTAAAACATCTACTTGGATGACTAGGTATTCCAAAATGTTCTTTGTTGGGCTTCCAGGAGGGACTTTTTAACAAGAATATAAAGTATTGCTTTTTTTTAATATGTGTAGCAGTGAAATGAAAAATGTTTCCTCACTTATAAATGTTCCCATGGTTGTTAGGTGGGTAGATCTTAATAAAGAAGCCTGAAGGAGAAAAATGTTTCCAATTCCTTCTGTTAAGTTCCCCAGTAAGTCATATCTTTGAACATCAAAATGTGCTCCATTGGCACATTTAACACATAATATCTATCTCTGAACTTATGTGTCAATGTACAAAGATTTATGTGAATATATGCAGATGAATAATGGTAATATTTAATAGTGGGCATCTTCTTCTCAAGTTATTAAAACCTCAGTGCACTGTGTTGTTGTTTTTTAAGCAAGGTAAGACTTTTAGTATTTGATTTAGAGAGGTGAGATATAATGGAAAATTATAAGTGGATATATTTAATAATTTGACATTATGATATTGACTCAGGAAGGGGGTTAATGGTGGTGCATTTTTAAAAACTGAATCTTCTCTCATCTTTTAAAAACTTAATGAAATACAATTCTATTTCTTCCACGAATTTGTTGTTATAAGGATTACAGTAAATTAAGGCATGAACAAGCTGAGTTCCAGATGGCCTCATTTGGCTAATTAAGTACATTCTTTTTTTGTTTCGTTTTCATAAATAGATATTTGAACTGAGAAGGGACATGGAGGACATTCTTTGGTTCAGATGAAGAAAGGATGGGAGAAGCGTTATAGACCACAGCCACATTCCCAGTTTTAGGAATGACTGTTGGGAAGGAAAATTCTTATTTTGGAAGTCACAGAGTATTTGTAAAGGTTAGCAAAACAGTGAAGCATTTTCCAGCTCACTTGCTTTCATATTCCTCTTTGCTACCAGATACTTTACTGAGTACTCCCCCGAGCTCTCCTATGTGGGGTGACAGTCTATACTGTTCACTCATGCCCAAACACTGAAGACTTAACAATAACAGCAAACACTACTAGCTGTTCTAAATTACACATACTTGCTCATTGAACCCTCATACCAGCCCTATAAATCAGGCACTACTCTTACCTTACTCACAAGACTTAAGCACAGGAGAGCTGAGAAACTTGCTTAAGGTCACACAGCTAAGAAGTAGCTGAACCAGAATTAAATAATATGTTCACATTTTGAAGAGACCTGATGGAAAGGGAAATATTTAACAGAAAATCCCAACATGCTATTTTGTGGCTCGATGACATTTTGATCAAAAGAGAGATTTGGGGGCCTGGGGATGTAGCTGAAGCAGTAACACGCTTGCCTGGCATGCGTGGGGTGCTGGGTTTGATCCCCAGCACCACATAAAAATAAAATAAAGATGTTGTGTCCACCAAAAAGTGAAAAATACATATTAAAAAATTCTTTTTTTACCTTGATTACATGATTTATTGTTTTATATTTTTATTTGTTCTAATCAGTTATATTTTACCAAAATTTATTAAATTCTTGCATTCGCTAGATGTCAAGAGATCTAACGTTGTAGACTGACACATTATATTCACCAGCAAAGGGCTAAAGTCAATATATTCAGAATGTTATTGCAAATCTCTTCAGTGTTTAATATAAATAGATGTGACCAAAATGGTGATTTTTTTTTTCTCCAGTGGATTAACTTTCCCATGAAATTATAGCATGATGTAGAACACTGGTAATTATCAACTCCCTCAAACCTGAAGATACTCTCAAAACTGCTAGCAACTTGTATTTAATTTTGATTAGAAATAATACAAAAGTAGGAAAAGTAACCTGTGATTTGAACCCGTGAGTGAACTCTCTCCTTTCTAGCATTAGTTTAGTTTTTTTTTTTCCCCCAGTTTAGATTTGTGGACAGGACACCATATTTCTCACATAATAGTGTCCTCACATATTACTTTATTAAGTCTGTAATAAAATTTAGTTAACATTAAACTTTTGCACTAATGTCTGAATTTAGACCAGAATCACATAGTCAATGATAGGAACAATAGAAACTATATATACTAACATTGATAATATGAATTATTAATTTAATATTTATGTTGGATACTACATATAATATTTTTCAATGTTTTTTTTTTAATTTTTATTATTAGTTGTTCTAGAGAGAGAGAGAGAGAGAGAGAGAGATTGATTTGGGAGGCTTGGTGGAGGCTTTTCAATACCTTTCCAATCACTTTAAGCCAGCAGGTGCTTGTCATGCAAAAGACCAGGCCTGCCTATGAGGATTTGACTATGAGGGTCCTGTGCCAGGCAAATGCCAATGTCTGACAGGCCAAGCACACAGAGGGTGCACTCTACCTGGGGGAGCAAAGCAAAGGGCTTGCCAGAGGCCACAGGTGGGCCAGAGACAACCAGTGTTCACAGGCTTGTGAGGCTGCCAAAGATTCATTGGATTTCTGCTGGGGTGCATCTTTTTCTTCACATCTGAGAGGGTATCAGGATCAAAAACTCTTCTGAGTTTACATGGAGAGCCTATTGACTGTGACAGAGATATTATGTTAAGATCCCCATGTTATACCAAAATTCTCTTAAGGCAAGGCTTAGCAATGAGTCCCAAATCTATGGAAGTAAGCAATTTTGTTTCCAAACTTAGATAGTAGTATTAAATATGAATGTAGAAATTATTTTGAATTCAGATTCTATTTTCCCAAACTATGCCACAAATGGCAACTGGGACTTACCACACAGAATCCTACTTAACCCACCTTGTACCCAAGCCAAACTGCCCAACCCAGCCCCTTAAAATATTGTTTCTGTGAAAAACTAATTCTGTGATCCAGGCCAGAGCTTGAAGCAGGAGAGCCCACTCCTCTGGAAAACCCACCAGTCCTCACAGTTCATTCCTGCTTGTGTGATAAGGGAGCTCCCCAGCTGTACTTTCCTCTTGCCCACTGAGCCCTGTGAAGAAGTGTGGTACCATTGAAGAAATACTCCTGGGGTCTCTGGATCTCTGTGGATACCTTACTCTATCATGTGAAGAATATTAGTTGGCTATTTGTATATGTGGCTGGTTATAAAGTATATATTCATAAACTAGACTGTATCCATTCTTGATTATTTTAGAATGTGCTGGAAACCTCAGATTGGGGACAAAGCAAGAGTGAGAGCAAAGTGCTTCCCTAGCCCCCTCAGTGATGCACTTGTGTGGAAGAAAGTACCACTTGTACAGAGAAGAATCAAGGACCATCTGTACCACAGAGAAGAAGTAAGATTCGAGCCTCCAAAGCAACTGTTACATCAGTCAATTTAATGAGAAAGAAGGTCAAGCTACCTTCTGATTAATTGCCACCGTAGTGACAGACACAGCTTAAGAGGAAACATGAGAAGAAAATCTAATGACAACAGGCATAGGAAAAATTCCACTGCCTTCCATTTTACCTTCCCATGGCTCTTTCTCACAACATGCAAAACAGTAAGTCCAGGGGTCTCTCATGAAAATTGGACAATTAGATCAACTGATAAATAATCATTTATCAGATACCTACTAGACTATGCCATATCCATTATATCACAGATTATTTTATCACAACAACACTCTGAAGAATGGAGGAGATACAATTTGAGGCACACTCTCAAGTACTTGACTCAGATCCTGGATGGAGAATTCATGAGATAACTGGAAGGCAAGTTACAGAACTAGAACTTAGGGTTATATAACCATTGAAAAGCAAAGTAGGGACCTGGGGTTATGGCTAAGCGGTAGCACACTTGCCTGGTGTGCATGAGGCACTGGGTTTGAGTCTCGGCACCACATATAAATAGATAAATAAAGGTCAATTAACGAATATTTTAAAAAAAAGAAAAAGAAAAGAAAAGCAAGGTAGGATCAGGTGTTTTAAACTTGCATATTCAACAATTTTATTCATCAAAGGTAACTTAGTAGCTGAAATTCCAGAACTTGATGACATCACTTAAATAGTTCATTTCTTTGTCTCAAGAATTATCTATTGATGGGAGGCTGGAACCACTGACCCAGGACCACATCAAGAATGGTCACAGGGCTGGGGTTGTAGCTCAGTGGTTGAGCACTTGCCTTGCACATGTGAGGCACTGGCTTCGATCTTCAGCACCACAGAAAAGAAAAGAAAAGAAAAGGAAAGAAAGGAAAGAAAGAAAGATATTGTGTCCATGTACAACTAAAACTATATTAAAAAAAAAAAAAAGAATAGTCACAGGAGGGATGGGATCGTGGCTCAGTGATAGAGCGCTTGCCTAGCACATGTGAGGCACTGAATTCTATCCTTAGTACCACATTAATAAAATAAAGTTTAGGGGCTGGGGTTGTAACTCAGTGGTAGAGTGCTTGCCTAGCATGTGTGAGGCACTGGGTTTGAGTCTCAGCACCACATATAAGCAAATAAATAAATAAAGATCCATCAATAACTAATAAAAATTTAAAAATAAAGTTTAAAAAATAGTCACAGGAGAAAAGATTAGATACAGGATAAAATCTTGTTAGTAACCATAATATGGTGATAGATGTTTTTTGGGGGAAATTCCCAAAATGTCACTGAAAAAGTAAAAAAAGCCTTTTTACTTTTATCACAAGATAAAATTCAGTTTTGTGTGCATTGTGGCTTTATTTAGTTCCATTTTCCTTGTCTTGTGCTAATAAAATGCTTCAAAATCTTAATTTTTACTTCAGAATCAGATCTTCCTTCCAGGTTTCAGCAGAAAAGTCACATGTGAATAAAAAAACAAAAACTTCTGAAAACTCTTTGCTACTTATTGCATAATTTAAGCCTTCATTTTAGCAAACCAGGTACTTGAATTTGGGGAAGAAAAATTAGAGGGAGAAAAAAAAGTAGAAATGGAGTTTTGATAGACTCCTTTGCAAAGTTGTCTTCAAAGGAAACATCCAGAGATCATGGTGATTGTTCAAATCCACAAGTGATTCAATGTGCATACTTCCAGAGCTCCAATTTGTGTTCAGCACACATCAGAAGCTGTCTTAAATACATCCTGTTCAGATTGATAAAGGTTTCCAAGTGAAACCTAACTAACAAATTACTAGTAACTATCACTAAATCAATCTAGTAACTATCACTAAACCAAAAGCATCTGAGAGGCTGACACACATAAAATCAATGAACAACAGGAAGCTCAGTATCCTCAAGAAACTGTGCCAGGGACTTGGTTGAAGGAATGAGAGGGACAGAGTTTCCTAGCTGAATGACCAAGACAACTACATAAATCTGCATATTATATATTGATTCCCTGATACACATTTATTTTCCCTCCCTTGTCCTGCTGCCCCACCTGGCCTCTGCCCTCCTTCAGGGAGGATTTTGGAGGAGACAGACCTTGCAAAGCTCTGCTAGCTAAGTTTTCCTCACCTCCTCGGTTTCAGGAGTACATTCTTTTCTTCTGGGGGGTTGCCCAGCTCCTGGCCGAAAGGCTCCCATTGGAATATTGATATTTGCCTAAAAGAGAAAATGGGGTAGATTTAGCTCAAGAAATGTATGAAATTGCAATGATACTCTGAGACAGCAATCATTGTGAGAAAAAATGTGTCTGAAAAGTACATCTTCAAAGCTTTTTATCTCAGAAAAATTGCTGTAATGACAGCACAAAATATGCAAAGGAAAATTTGACTTCCATTTGTTACAGATTTCTGGTATTCATCCTTATATCTGAGCAGCGATTTTACAATTCCTTATTGGGTGGAAGAATTTGAGGACAGTTTGTTCTCGCTATTGCCCTCCTGTGGTGCATATTATCTGTCAGGGATAAGGAAGAAACACAGAACTGTAGGACAGAAGGAAAGCATCTGCAAAAGCCACCCCATGCCTTTGCCTTCCTTCAGGTCCCTTCAGATTTACCAAGGAGTGGGGGACATTCACACCTCCTATGCTGCTGCTCCCTTCTTTATATAACATCCTGCCATATTTCAGCATTGCCTTAGGCCTCTGGAATTGACCTTCAGTCCTCTTCCCAACACATTTTTCTGTGTCAGTAAGGAATAAGCAGAATGTTGAAAAGACAAGTTCCCTTTGTATTATAACTCACTGATACTTATTCTTTATTAAGACAACATATTAATCTCCATCAGTGGAGAACACAAAATACCATCTACTTAAATGAAATGTTCCAAAAATTAAATTATGTAATGTCATGTTGACATAGTAATTTGAACTTGGGAAGAGAATACATAAATTTGAATTTTGCCCATATTTTGTCTGATATCAAAAGGTGAAAACACCCAGGCATAGTGGCACGTGCCTGTAATCCCAGCAGCTCAGGAGGGTGAGGCAGGAGGATCGTGAGTTCAAAGCCAGCCTCAGCAACTTAGCAAGGCACTAAGCAACTCATTGAGACCCTGTCTCTAAATAAAATACAAAAAAGGGCTGGGGGTGTGGTCAGTGGTTGAGTGCCCCTGAGTTCAATCCCTGGTACCAAAAAAAAAAAAAAAAAAAAAAAAAGAAGAATGAAGACATATAATAGAGATCTAAAATGTCTTCAACCAATAGTAGCACTCACATAAAACATGCATTAAACAAAAGTACAACACATTTTTTTTCCACTATAGATAAAAGTGTTGCTTTATGAGTAATGGGATATGTGGGTTTGAAAAGTTGAAGTTTCATCTTGTTTTGAGTGACAATGATACCTGAGCAAAGGCATCATTTTATTATAACACAGATTGGACCAAATGAAATTATTGTGAAATATAGTGAGGTCCATTTGAAAGCACCCGGTATAAGCTGTCACCAGGGGAATGACACCCATGACAAGTGGTATCCACTGTCCATGTTCATTCAGCACGGACAACAGGAAGTAACTTTTCCCATCTAGGGGCTTTAAAACTTCCCTTCTTACTAGAATAATGATGATTCTACAGAAAAGAAATCAATCAAGAGTATTTATAGTGGAAAAAACAAGAGGTACATCATTGTGGTGCCATCCTTAGAGCCAGCAAGCCAGGAAGTATTTTTGATTAATATGTCCTATAAGACAGATAAGATAGAGGGAAAGATAGGTCTTAAATAGTTGAAAATATGGAGCCCTACTTTGTGAACTCCAAGATGTATTTCTTTTAATATATTTGAAATCATAATGTGTCTTACAGCCAGTGATATCTTATACTTTTTTTTGAGACACAGACTTACTATATTACCAGGCTGGCCTCAAATTCCTGAGCTCAAGCAGTTCTCCAACCTCAACTCCCAAGAGACTGGGATTACAGACATAGGACACTGCGTCCATTTGTATCTTATAATTTTAATTGGCAAATTTTCTTTATTTCTGGGCAGGACATAAAATAATAGTATTAGCTGGGTTTGTAGCTCAGTGGTAGGGCCCACTTAACATGCATGAGGCCCTGGATTCCATCTCCAGCACCACCAAAAAATAAAATAAAATAATGGTATTTTACAACTGACAGTGGTTAGATTGGAAGACATATCATAGGGACCTGAAGTAAGAAGATCAAAACAATATAAATAAGACTCATAGAAGATGATACATAATTGAATCAATAGACTATTTCCAGCAGTACAATCTGGATGAAAGAGGGAGATAGTCAATAAGGATTATATGGGAGAAGGTTAATCAATTAAAAGTTTAGTGAGAACACCCTATCCCAACCCATTTATTAAGAATCTACATACAGGGGGAATCTTCCTAATAGCCAGGTCAGGTTATCATATTGTTTCTAAAAGACTTAATAGTTAAACTAACCTATTTACTCAAGTATGTATATTCTATAGTTCATTGTGGTTTTCAGTAAGAAAAAATGCAAAAGTCATCCACAATAATGTAATAGGTAAAGCACTTGCTATGGACCCACCCGCTTTTCCCATTTGGGGATTAATTGTAGAAATTCAAGTAGCCTCTCCATGGGTCATGTGTGGTTTGCAATAGTGAAAAGAGGGGCTGGGGATGTGGCTCAAGTGGTAACGCGCTCACCCTGACATGCGCAGGGTGCTGGGTTCAATCCTCAGCACCACATAAAATAAAAAAGATGTTGTGTCCACCGAAAACTGAAAAATAAATATTAAAAAATTCTCTCTGTTTTCTCTCTCTCTCTCTCTCTTTAAAAGAAAAATAGTGAAAAAAGCCCAGTTCTAGGAGTTGCTAACCGATTCTCAATACTTGAAAAAGTGATAGCTGCTCTGTCCCCACTTGTGATATGAATATTAGGCTATAGCAGGGTTTTTCAAACCTCTTAACCATGGAATCCTTCCCTCAATTAAGGAATTCTAAGGATATCTAATGCAAAGTCTGAGGAGATGGAGGTTTTGAACACCTACATTCTCACAAGTATTCTGAGGTTGATATAATCATCTTTGTTTTACTGATAAAGAAACTGAGTTAGAAAATTTGTACAAGGTCACACAATTAGTACAAGCAAGTGGGCATGCTGGCACAAAATGTCTGTAATCCCAGCCACTCAGGAAGCTGAGCCAGGAGGACCCCAAATTCCAGGCCAGCCTGGGCAACTTTGCAAGACTGTCTCAAAATAAAAAGGACTGGGGATGTAGCTCAGTGGTAGAACACCCCTGTGTTCAATCCTGACCGCCCCTCCCCGCAAAAAAAGACTACAAGCAAAAGCCAGGATTCTAAATCAAAGCTGTCTAACTGTAGAATCAGACCTTTATACTCTACCAAACCATTCTCCAAAGAGTTCTTTTCACTTGGCTGAAGTTAGCTGTAACCTGCTCTGAAATTGCAGACTTATATTTTGAGAAAGGCCTTTGAAAGGGGGCATACAGAATAGATAATTCCAGAATATCTGCCAAAGAAAAGCCACTTTGAAAAATGAGCCATTGACTCACTGACTTGACACTTTTTCTTCTTTAAAGCATCACTCACATCAGGAACCTAAATGGCTTTTTATGACAGCAAATATTGACAGGAATGAAAGCAGCCTGAAAACATGTGGAACATCCAATCATTCATGTGCACCAATGAGGGAGTGTAAAAGGAATGCTTTGTCAACTGTGGCATGCATTACACTAGTAATAAGATGATTAGAGATGTTTCATTAATATAATTGTAGGGCAGTGATACTTGAATGACAAATTATAGACTAAATTATACACATAAAGAAAATTCCTTTAACTTGAATTTGATAGGAAAATGTAGATGTGTAGATCTCTGTTTTTATTCCATTGGCCAGAGAATTGGGTCATATTCTTGTCTTTTTCACTGACTTGCTCCAGTTTGTTTGAAATACTAGGAATGGAAACCAGAGCCTTGAACGTGCTGGGCAAGCACTGTACCACTGAGCTACATACATCCCCAGGGCTTTCTCTGTGTTTGAATACAAATGAAATATCTTTTTAATCCTTCACTCTTTCCCCCTGCAAATTGAGTATGGGTTTGGAATATAAGCTTCTATCTATCTATCTATCTATCTATTTTTGGAACTGGAGAGTTAACCCAGGGGTACTTAACCACTGAGCCATATCCCCAGCCCTTTTTTTCATTTTTTATTTAGAGACAGGTTCTCACTAAGTTTCTTAGAGCCTTTCTAAGTCCCTGAGGCTGGCTTTGAACTTGCCATCCTCCTGCCTCAGCCTCTGAGACACTGGGATTACAGGCTTATGCCACCACACCTGGCTATAAGCTATTTTTAAAATGAAAGATTAAACACAGAAAAGGCTTAACATTAATAACTTTGGTCATTAATGTACAAAGTCATTAATGTTAAATTGGAGGTTTTTTTTGCTAGATTCTGTATAAAGGTAAAGGAAGCAGGTTCTTGTTTTGTTTTGTTTTGTTTTGTTTTTCCTCCCTTTGGTAATGCAGCCCTATCTAATTCCTTTCTCTCCTTGAGGTTTACTCATTTTAGATATTTTTAAATGTGCTCCCCTTCAACAGACCAGGTGCATCATTTTCCCAAGCTATACATAATTTGTTACATCCTCCAAGTTGGGAATGGAAAAAATCTACTAGATCATCTTTTGCCAGTACAGGATACAGTTCCCTGATAGAAGACCTATCTGATGTGAAATGAATACTACATTTGATCTCACCAGACGAAGAAAAGTAGAAAGAATTCCCTGTAAGTTAATTCCACCACTCCCTTAATTATTTGTATTGTTCTCTTTACTTGACTCCAGGCTTAGAGCCAGGAGGATTCTGGAAACAATATTCCCTTCACAGTCACTCCACTGGGGTTTACAATGGAATGACATCTTCTTTCCCCAGGGGGTTGGATTCTGATAGCTGCTGGCCCGTGGGTGCTGACAATTCCTATTGAACTTTACTTTCCATAGTCATTGTTCTCCTATCTCCTCCTCTCTTTTTGTCTCTCTTTTCTGAACCTACTGTGTTGCATATTTGTTTCTAATGACCCCCCACTGATTCATCTTTAGTTTTCAAAGATTCCCATCAGCTCCTGCCAGGATCTATAGCCTCCCCAAAGTCATTCTCCCAAGATGCAGTCAGAGGAAATTCTATGGGTTGCATTTTACAG